ACCTACTTCCATGATCCTGCAACTAGCAAATATTGGAAAAAGCGGTGTAACATTACTATATTTATTGAAATTTTAAGAGTTAATCTTTATTAAATATTATCAGCAATCAAAGTCAATGATAATATTATCAAAAGCATGATCATAGTTACATCATGAACCATATAAACCACACCCTCTATCATACACATCTATAACTGGGAGTCCTCTGCTCACACCTCGAGAAGAACGGTATAAATAATAACTTGTCTGTCCTATAGGTGTTAGCCTGAATGTTACTCTCTCTGGGAGGACTTTCTTATCTTTCTCTTCCTTTAGAAGGTAGATATTTCCCACTATAGGCACCTATAGTACCTTGTCCCTATTATAGGAGACATTGCATCTTATTATCATTGTTTGCTTTGTTAACTATTTTCCCAGTAGACCATGGGTCCATGAAGACAACTACCATATCAGTCTTGCTTACACTTTATCCTCAGGGTCTGAAAAATACTAAGAATGTTATAACGAACTAATAAATGAAGGAAGAAAAGAGAAAAGAGAAGGAAGAACAGAGGAAGAAGGAAATTTTCAACTATTAGGGAAGCCAATTGTCAGTTTATTTAGTATTTAAGATGCAATCATACAGACAGTATTCTTGGAAATATTTCCCTTATGACTGGGATTTCACCAACTCTTTCCTGTGCTTATTGAATTCCTGAAAATAATAACAAAAAGTGTTATTTCCTCCTCTGATTCCTCTAGGAGATGAAGACACAAATCATTGAGTCCAAGTGACTTAAGCCAAAGTGGTTCTTCTTGGTCCTTGCGTCATTGTTTTGGAGTCAGCCCAGCTATCCACACTATACCATCTGTACAGTATCCTAAACATCTCTTCCTTTCCCATCTGACTCTTGCTTGCATTGTTAGATTTTCAACTGTTTTCCCTCGACTGATCTCCCAAAGTACAGATGATTATTCTCATTCTAGTGTCAGGGAGAGAGAGTGTGGTTTAGCCAAAGAAGCGGGTTGTCCAAACACTGTCTCTGTTCAGTTTTCAATAGCATCATGCAGATTTTCATATTATAGGAATTTGCCCACTTCTCAGAAAACTGACAATTCTTATAAGTGGCAGTCCAAATTTGGAAACCACAGCTGTTTTTAGCAATTGAGTTACTGCATTTCAGGTGCCAAAAATATTACCTATCATATTCTCCAGGGTTCAAAGGAAGAGGAAAGAGGAAAAAAGCAAAAAAGCTGAGGATAAAGGTAGCATGAATCTTCTCCACTTACATAAATTATTAAAAATAACTACAATAATTGAAACCACAATAATAATGGCATTAAGAACTAGCATTCAATAGCAATGAACAAAATAGGGCTTTACATGACCTTCCTAATCATCCCAAGCGGGAAGGAAGATAGTGTTCTTAGCATCTTCATTTGACAGATAAAGAAACAGAATCAGAGAAATTAAGTAATGTTCCAAGGTCACACAACCAAGCCTGAACTCCAACCCAAGCCACCAGACTTTAAATCCTGTATCCTATTTCTTATTTAGACAGCCTCACCACTGATTTATCTAAACAATCCCATATAAATCCATTTTGGTGGGAAATCTACCCTTTTTCTATCACTGTGGGCCTGGGGGAAGGTGGGGAGGGATGTTATTAGGACTTCTTTGAACTTCCCAAAGTACAGAAAAAAAGCAAAGATTTCATTTCTAGCTTTGGATGCAGGTTCCTGGTATAAACATATTAAAATCTTACTCGGCTCATCTCTGAATTGATTTTGGAGGCTCGCAATAAAGCAGTTTGGCCACTCTGCCTCGGTTTGCACCTTGGACTCTAATTTCCTATACCCCCTTCCTACCCACAAGGAACTTCAGGAACAGGAAAAGCAACTTTTCAACTGGCAAAGCTTGATGACCCTTCTCTGGCCTTCTCCCAGCCCTCATCTCCCCAGGGCAGGCCAGTACCTAGCACATCTGGGGCTGTGGTGAGAGACTCTCAACCTGAAGGCCCTAACAACTGAGTTTAGGCTGCTGTAGTCAGTGGAGAGCCTGCCCCGTGCATTGAGTCTCAGGGAATCTGCGATCCTGTAACACCTCCAGCAGATACCCATGTAAGGCAGTATCTGGCAGCAGCTTTGTAAAAGAGAACTGGAAAAAGAAAACGAGTGAGGGAAATAACTGATGGGATACTAAATGTAACATGGATGATAGAACTTTGGCAGAGAGCATTTTCCAAAAATAACTGCAAAAATATTTCTGGTCCTATACACTCTTCCCAAATCTTGCCACCCACTCCCCCACCCCCATCAAGTGAAGTTTATTTCCTTTCCCCTTGAATCTCTATCAGTCTTGTTCAGTGCCTAAATAAATTATAGTGGAAGCAATGCCCTGTGACTTCTGAGGGTAAGTTAGAAAAGGTGATACAGTTTCCACCTGGGTCTCTCTTGGGTTCTCGACTTTAGAACTTTGGGAGGAAGCCCAGGCAACAGAAAGAGCTCAGATGTAGGTATTCCAGTTATCAGTCCCACAAGGGTGCTAGTCAACAGCTGGCATCAACTAACTGCCACGCCCATGAGTCAACAAGCCTTCTGATGATTCCAGTGGCCAGCTTTTGAGTCACCACAGCCTTTGAATCTTCCAGTGAAAGTTTCAGACATCTTTCAAGAAAAACAAGTCACCCTACAGTTCCCTGTGGGAATTCCTTACCCACATAATCCATAGGCACAATAAATGGTTGCTTTAAAGCACTAAGTTTTGGGGTAATTTGTTATCAGCGAAACATAATCAGATCAGGAACTGAGGCCTGAGGGGACTTCCAGGCACACGTTCTATTTGCAATCGCCAAATGGTATTCAAGGCTCTAATGCTAATTCCAGCTGTCCCCTGTCAGGTGCCTTCTGCATGTAGGTCATTTCTCTTAGAGGTCCCACTCTCCCTCCCTGCAACTGCACTTTGCCCTCTTCATTCAAGAGACATATTTTTAAGGTTCTGAATCTCATCTGTGCACAGAGTTTAAGCCTTTTTTCTTAAGTTGCTTTGGCCCTGCCTACTACACAAACTAGGAGGTAAGCTTAGCTTATTAATTTTAGTGTTTGAACCTTCCCTGATGGTTAAGGAGTATGCAGTGGTGGAGGGTAATGAGTTGTGGGGAGAAAGGAGAGGAACATAACTCCCAACACCTTTGTCTTCGTTGTGACTTAGAGCTTTTTGTTTTACTTAAAAAATTACATTACCACAGCTAGAACCTTCACTGCCAGGGCTACAATACCACTGAATCATTTTACCTCCGCGCTGATCAGGTCAAAACCAGGAAAGTAAAAAATACAGGGACCTGTCTATCTTGTACAGTGTTGTAATACAAACACTTGGGACAGCGCCTGGAACACAGTAAGCACTCAATAAATATCTATGGAATGGAAGAATGAATGAATAAATAAATGAGAGAAATTTCCCCCCTCCATTTACAAAGCAATACTTAACATTGGGTTAGCATAATGTGCGCAGACAACTATAGTGTTCAATGGTTTGACAGTGTATAGCATCCCAGCACCTGATACTTTGTCTGGTAGTTGCTAAGCAGTCCGTAAATATTAAATATTTAAATATTAAACACTAAATGAATGCCAAACACTGACAAGTCACTTAGTTGTCTCCTAGGCTTTGCCAGCAGATGGCAGTGACAGATGAGGGTGCCGGCCAATACACCTGATCCTCGGAGAGAGATCAGACTGGGACATAATGTCCAGAGGTCCGGAGGCTTACCAGTCTCTGTAACCCTTTGGTGATAAGGGGACTCCAAAAGGTATTTGTAATCTGAGTATGACATTCGTATGAATGCACAAAAGGGTACCAACTTCCACTTTAAGAATCAGAAGTGCTTTTCTATGATTGCTCTAAATAGGATTTTGCTTTGCAGCTAATTTTATACATGAGCCATTCATTCTTTTGTCCATTCACTTATTTATTCATCGCACATTAATGGGTGCCTACCTGTTGCTATTTTTCTGCAAAAATTTGTTTAGTCTGCTCAAGAGATAGTTACATGTTCAAAAGGTCCCCATTTCTTGAAGAAGGTCCTGACTAGGCAACAAAAGATTGAAATCACCATTGTGTAGAGGCAGATGGAAATTGTAGACATAAGATTCTCATGATTCAGAATTAATGGATCCGATATATTTCAAAATGTGATCTGCACTGGGCAGAGTCACTTAACAGGTGACTATTCAATACAGAGATGTCTGGCATCCACTCTGGACACACCAAATCAGAGTATCAGAAGTGAGGTTGGAAACTCTGTGAACCAGCTCTGGTGACTTTGACTGTACTTAAGTGTGAGAACTGTTCACCAAAAGGGTCTGTTACTAGGACCTACATGCAATTGCTTAGTATGGCTTTACTCAAATCTCTACTTGTTACTTGGCTGATTCTAAGACATCTAGAAATAGTGTAAATATGGCTTACAATTGCCAATTCCCCAGGTCAAAATTTCACTGAATAAATGTAATCTCACTGTAATTTGTAATTTCACTGAATGAAATGTAATTTCAATGAATAAATGTTAGTTCCTAAACTAACCCCAAATCAACCCCTGCAAAAAAGAAAACAGAGTAAACCTATCTTTAAGAAACTCACAGTTCAGAAGCAAACTATTACAAAATATTTGTTACAAAGAACATGTATGAATAACCCACCGACATGGACAACAGTGTGGGCAGGGACTGTGGGGGGGGGGGTGGGATGGGCAGAGGAGGGCAAAGGGGGAAAAATTGGGACAACTGTAATAGAGTAACAATAAAAGTGATTAAACTTTGGTGTGTTATATTCAAACCCTTCTCAATTTGAAAAACAATAAACAATCATCGACTATGAAAGGGAGCTCTAGACCATGCAAATCTGGACTATGCTACTTTTCTACCCTGGCTCCCACAGTGTTGATGTCCAGCTGGGCCCTGGTGACCTTTGCCTTGCCTTACCCCAAACTGTCTCTTCTTCCCAGGAGGCTTTTACTCACTTTCTGAATTTTCCTAATCTGGTCAGAGAGTGTATCTAACAGGCGAGTTTTCAGGAAGTCCATCACCTTGACCACCCGGCCATCAATGTAGCAACTGGAATAAAAATAAAATAAAAATCAGACAAAATCTCAAGCAGGAGACTACATATACTTCACTAGTCACAGGTCTCTGTTGCCTGAGAAAGTGGCCCAGGATTCACTTAGGTTCTTATATTCTAAAAAGTTTGACCCTGGATTTTAGACCCTGGGTCAAACTGGGTGAAAAGTTTTCAAATAAATAGTATACTTCATCTCCTTCTTCTTAACAATTTTATTACATTTATTGGGGTGACATTGGTTAACAAAAGTACATAGGTTTCAGGTGTACAATTTTGTAATATATCATCTGCATATTGTATTGTGCATTCACCACCCAAAGTTCAATCTCCTTCCATCTCTATTTGTGGGCTAATGTGATTTTTTTTCAATGTTTGTCCCATGAAACTACATTTCTTGCTCTATAGGAATAAATAGGAATTCATAAACAAATTGGGTAATGGAGAAAAGCTTACATTTTTGCCCCAGGGAAAAAATTTAACACCCATCCAATGCCACCCCTATCTAGATCTTAAAGTACTAAAGGTATGTGAGAAGTTTGAAAGAATACTTAAACATTTTTATAAGTTTCTACACCTTTAAACAAGAAAACAAATACCAACCACAAAAACTTGATTTAGTATGGTGAGTGAGTCTCAAAGATTTCAGCTTGAGTTCACCTCCCTGGGCAAAGTACCTTGTGGTCAACCTTCTTGTACTACCTCCAAAGTAAATGAGTGGTGAATGAATGGATAAACAAACAAATACATCAGTCAGATAGATTGAAGTCCAGGAGCCTTCTCCTAAAATAGTAAGAAGGCACATGTGGGTGGGTTGGTGAATAGGTTTTGTTAGGTAGCTTCAGTGAAGCATCAAGTTGTGCTACTGATACTGTGTTGTGAACATTTAACTCAAAGAGTTCTATCTACTTTATGAGGACCCTCTTTGTGAACTCTTACTCTAAAATCTAAGCTGATACTGGCCCAGGGTTAGGTGACTCAACCCTCCCCACCCCCAACTTTGCTAAATTCCAAATTAAATCAATTTAAATCAATGCTTATGACTTCCAGGTGTCTTTTCCAACCCAGTTCTCATTGGCTGAAGGCTAATGACAGATTTTTCATTTTTAATGACACCAATCTATCAGTACACATTATAGAACCATGTGAAAATTCTTTTTTAATGTCAAATTCCCATACCAATACATGATATAGTAGAATGGTTATTTTTTTTTTAATTATAAAGCAGGTGTTCTGGTTGAAGTGAGGGTGGGAGATGAACTTAACCCATTCAGCCTTCTCTTTGGCTTCTCTCACTACCTCAGACATCTCCATGCAATCCAATATTGGTGTTTTGGAAAGAGTATGGGTTTTGGAGCCAGAGATTTGTGAGTTCAAATTCCAAATCAGGTATTTCCTATCGATGTGATCTTGCACAGGATAGTTGGCCTCTATCAGCCTTAGTTTTCTTATTATTAAAAGAGAGGTAACATATCTACTTCTCAGTATTAACTAAAGTTTAAGCACATAAACCTGAAGTGTTTGGTGCACAGTAGTAACTCATTAGTGTTTTTTCTAATTTCTCTAATTTTCAGCTCACAAAGACAGGGTCATAAACAACATGGGACTGATTAAATTAGTGTGACTACAGAATTCTAGAAGTGGAATTGTATCAAAGGGTATATGCTTTCAAAAATTTTCATGGTTACTTATATTAGGGAATAAAATAAAACAATGACATGACCTTTCACCTCATTCTTGGTGTAAATGCTAGACTCAGATCTAATAAACATTTATTATGTACAACACAGAGGGCTAGGTATGTCCATGTTCATTACCTCCTATTAGTACTTCACTGTTAGCACTCTTATTTTTTTTAAAAAGTTATTAGACAGCATACTACATGAAAGCTAGGCATATTAAAACATAGTGCTAAAATTTAAAATAATTTATGAATGTTCATCTAACACACATTGAAAATACTCGAACACTTGTTGCTATCTTACATGATGACTAGGCATATGATAAAAGTGCACTGTAATTAGTGTTCTGTTATGTTTTAATCAAATATATTACAGTTTCCTCTTTTTTCAGTTAGCCCCCAGTAACTATTTCAAACATGTGAGTTTACAAATTTTGCTGGCAACACATGCAGTTAAATACTTACTGAGATAAAAAACGCCAGCTGTACTTTTTCAGTTTGTAGTGTTCCCTATGAACACCCTCCTTGTCTCACAAATCCATGGTCCAGGGCTGAGGGCCCCTTCACTCTTACCCTCCCCTTCCTTTTGTTTTTTTTTCCTCAAGTATACAGACCTTGGAGTTAGAAAACCTTGGTTCAATCCCAGCTTTGACACTCATTATTTATATGATAATTGGGTTTCCCTTTATTTAAAATCGAATTAAAAAGAAACTATAGTATTTCACAGGGTTACTCTACCAACCAAATCAGAAAAAAAATCTGGGCTCAGAATCTGGCACATAAAAGGGATCAATAACCAAATCTAGCAACCAGGTTACTTAAGAGCCCAGGGTGGCACTAACCTGGATGGAAAAGCCATAGGATGGCACGAGCAGGGGAACATCCGCCTGGGGAAGGAGAGTACGTTCATCCACTGTAGGACTGGGAATGATGGAAGAAGGAGGCAGCAAGAACAGATATTACCAGTAGGGAGGCAGAGCGGGGATGGAGAGGGCTGTGATTACGTTGCAAAAACAGGGAGCTTGAAAACACCTGTATGGTCAAGCAGGTAAGCTTGCTTCATCATCCCTGAGAAGTGATCATCTAGGACAGGTAACCCACTTTCATCTACTGCTAGTACTCTTCCACTGGACGACAGCTTGAAGCCATGAAAGGCTCTTTTAACATGGGTCTAAAATTTGCTCCCTCTTACTGTCCACTCAATAGCTGTTTTCTTAGACCCAAGAAATAGTTCAATTCCTCCTTCACTTAACATGTAGGGGAAGAATTCCCATAAAATCTTTGGCTTTAGCTTTTTAGAGCCTATTCTTGGCCCCACATTTAACCTAACAAGCTGGATTCAATCATTCTCAGTTGGTCTCAGGCTATTTCTGTGGGCTGTGAATTATACTGGAACAGGGGAGAGCTCCAGGCAAGAAACAAGTGTGACAAGGTTATCTTATCTCAACAGTGTAGGTAAGAAGGAATCTGGGTCTAGTAAGGGAGGTCATGGAAAGAAGTAAAAGCGAGAGTCTGTGAAGAACTAAAATAAAATAAAGCTCTGTGGAGTGTTAAGAAAGAGAAGAAGGGGGTGAGTGATGACTGAGTTTATGAGAGAGAATGTTGCAGAGAACCCTGCTGCCAAAGGCATGCAGGCCAGTCAGACTAGGTTGTAGGTTTGTCAAAGGGGATGAATGACTCTGCTTGAAATATCAAGGATTCAGAGAACATCAAAGAGGAAAGACACAACAGGTAGTTGGAGATATTAAGGAGGAGGTACAGAGAAAAGTTGAGACAGGTAATGGTGACCTGGGTGTCTTTTTCAGTTTATAGGTAATCAATCCAGCCATGGCTATAGATGAGCTCTCCAAGAGAATAAGGGAAGTTGACAGAGATATCAGACACCCTCTAAAATGCTTCTCAACCATGGCCCTGGACATTGCCTCTACATTTGGCCCAGTTAAGAATCTATTCCTTCCACAACCTGACCAACACAGTGTCTTTTTAATAACCTCAGTCTGAGTCAAATTCACATTTGGGTGTCAGAGGAAGCCCCTCTGTTATACTGAGAAGTTTCAGCAACTTTCATTTGCAACCTTTCATCGTACTATGGAAATAGGAACTTTGGTCCCCCAGAATTCTGTATTGATTTTAAGAGGACATAATCTAACCACAGGTATGAATCTGATAAATACCTAAGCTCTTTTCTTGGGTACCTTTAAACAGGTAGCTTTCTGTACTTAATCTTCAGAAGCTGCTTAGAAAACATTCAACATCAACAATCTGGTTATTTTAAAAATTCCTGCCTGTGACAGAGCTTTCTTTCTCTGATAGCGGCTGCCTGTAGTAAAGGACCCAGCATATCATTTAGATTATTTGGATATGGAGGAGGTGGAGTAGCCTGTGGTAACCACTTGGTAAGAGTTAACTGTTAAAAATGAGGACGAGGGTGATTTCTCACTAAGACTAGGTAAAAGAGGTAGAATTGGATTCCAATTGACTACCTCTCCAGTGACTAAGGTGCAACTCTGCGTTTCTCTGCCTTTCTCACTGGGAATGATAAAGCTGATTCTTAGCTACCAACCAGTCTCTCCACAAGAGCTAATTCATTTAGTAATGGCTACAAAGGTGTCAGTAATCTAAATAAATCAGAGAGGAAAGGAAGGATGGAATGAAGGAAAGAAAGAAGGGAGAAAGGAAATTCATCATTTAGAGGTACTTCCACATAAACCCTGGCAGAATGGTTGGTTCTAGCAACACTAAGACTGGTACATTTAGGTAAATCATAGTCCTCCTCCAAGCTCTTGAAATTTCAGCATCTGTTAGGATCATACCATAGTGGCTGAGCTACTCAACTAAAACTTGAACCCAGGAGAGACTGTGCTGAAATGTTGAAACCTTTCTGTGGAGACAAATTGTCTGGCTCAATACCAGCAACCTTCGCCCCTTCTTCCACTGGTCTGTAGAGTGGCAGATAATACCAAGCACACATCTGGGGAAGCAGCAAAGATGACAGAATATACAAAGTAAATGGAACCACCTGTCAATTAATTCACCAACTCTCTTGCCTTCCTTAGTTTTAAATTTTATTTCCAGTTTAATATATTTCATCTTCTTTAAAGTTTTGCCCTTTATATGGACAGTGATGTGGGAATTGACTATAGGAAAAGGGGGGTTAGGGGTAAAAGGGGAAAATTGGGACAACTGTAATAGCATAAACAATAAAAATTTAAAAAACAAAAATGCACATAAATGACATTAAAATATAAGAATGAAAAATCACTGATAAGCCCAACACTGAGAGAGAGAGAGAGACTCACGTTAACCTTTTGCTGTACA